GCCTACCATTTAAGTAAGAGTGAAACCATTCAACTGACAGTTTGTCCAGACCCATTGCTACTAGTTTATCTATTACAATAGAATGATCTACAGTATCAAAGACCTTTTGCAAGTCGATCAGAACAACTCCAAAGTAATTGTCATTATCCATTTGGTGCCTGATATAGTCTGTCAAATATATAAGAGTAGTGTCAGTAAAGTACCCCGGCCTAAAACCAGACTGGTGCTCAAACAGGAGATTTTTCTTTATTAAACGTACATTATGCAAGAGCTAAATCTGCCTACTGCAGGTCTTTTCTTTAGGCCTGAAATGGTATATAACCTATTAATTAGACATTTATTAACAAAACAAGACCATAACCAACTCTCGATGGCATCGGATACTCGAAATTTTAACTAGAACGGTTCGCCATTTAAAAATTTAATTTAAAAATGGGAAAGCGAGGCTAAATCTCGTTACTTTATTATTGTTTGTTCTATATTTCAGACTCTAGCTAAGATGTTGGGAGGGGGGATGGCTTAGTGGTTAGCACGTGCGCGCTGTATCATTAAGCCTGTCATTGAGTCAACTGGCGTGGTTTCGAATCTCCGGTTGTACGTGACAACCCCCTGGAGTGTAAGGGGGTGATAAGAATATACGCTTCACATGTCCTGCGTGTCGTAAAAGGCGACCATCGCCACCTGTTTTGTTTTGATTTTTTTGTTTTGTATTCATTTAAAGAATTTTAGTATAATTGTTTGATTTGGTGCTGTATGACATGTTTTTTTTTGTTTAGATATGTGTGTGGTTGGGGGGTGGGGGGCATTTTGTTCGTATAGATCGTATTTTTCGTGAGTTTAAAAATTTGAGAAACAAAACACAAAAATTAATAAAACAGACCAAATCCTTTCATTTTAAAGATAACTTGATGACAACCAAAACAACCCAAAGGGTCTTAGGGTGGAGGAGAGGGGGGGGGGGGTCTCTAAAGAAACTTGGTACACCATTTAAAAAGACAGGGATATCATCAAATAATATAGGCTTAAAAATAAATAAAGATCTAATATTTGACAACATGTCAGTGGCTGTATGTTTTAATTCGTTTCAAAATTACCTTACAGGTCTTGGCATATACAAGTTCTTCAATAATTTCTACAAAAAACAAAGATGTTCAACAATCTTGAGTTCTCCTTGGATGATGGAATATTTGATAACATCTTAGAGAGAGAGATGGGTTTAACGTCCACTCGACACAGACTAAGTCATTTCGGGACTAACACATGATTCAATTCTATTTCAATCATTCGCTTGCGCGTAGGGGTCTTTAGCAGTGGTAGGAAACCGGAGGACCCGGAGAAAACCCACGAGGTTGGAAAGGCGACCCTACTCCTTGTCACGTACAACCGGAGATTCGAAACCACGCCAGTTGACTCAATGACAGGCTTAATGATACAGCGCGCACGTGCTAACCACTAAGCCATCCCCCCTCCCAACATCTTAGCTAGAGTCTGAAATATAGAACAAACAATAATAAAGTAACGAGATTTAGCCTCGCTTTCCCATTTTTAAATTAAATTTTTAAATGGCGAACCGTTCTAGTTAAAATCTCGAGTATTCGATGCCATCGAGAGTTGGTTATGGTCTTGTTTTGTTAATAAATGTCTAATTAATAGGTTATATACCATTTCAGGCCTAAAGAAAAGACCTGCAGTAGGCAGATTTAGCTCTTGCATAATGTACGTTTAATAAAGAAAAATCTCCTGTTTGAGCACCAGTCTGGTTTTAGGCCGGGGTACTTTACTGACACTACTCTTATATATTTGACAGACTATATCAGGCACCAAATGGATAATGACAATTACTTTGGAGTTGTTCTGATCGACTTGCAAAAGGTCTTTGATACTGTAGATCATTCTATTGTAATAGATAAACTAGTAGCAATGGGTCTGGACAAATTGTCAGTTGAATGGTTTCACTCTTACTTAAATGGTAGGCTCCAGACGGTTGATATAAATGGTATTCATTCTATCTAGTTACTCAAATATATCATATGGGGTGCCCCAAGGGTCAATACTTGGACCAATTTTATTTCTCCTGTACGTAAATGACATGCAAGCATCGGTGTCTTGTTGACTGCTGTTGTATGTGAATGCTTCTGTCCGAATTGTTTCGAGTAGAAACATAGAGGAAATTGAAAATAAATACGGTAGCAACCTCTCAAAACTCAATCAGTGGTTAGGTGATAAAAAATTATCACTACAATTAGGCAAGAATTGAGTCCATTCCAATTTTATTTCTCCTGTACGTAAATGACATGCAAGCATCGGTGTCTTGTTGACTGCTGTTGTATGTGAATGCTTCTGCCCGAATTGTTTCGAGTAGAAACATAGAGGAAATTGAAAATAAATACGGTAGCAACCTCTCAAAACTCAATCAGTGGTTAGGTGATAAAAAATTATCACTACAATTAGGCAAGAATTGAGTCCATTCCAGTATAAATGTAGACTGCAATAAGACTGATATTGCATCAACCACATCTGTAAAGTATTTGTGAGCGGAAATTGATCAGCCACTCCTAAGGGGTGAATCTGTGCACAGCCCTTATGTAAATTTCTGTTTGGCTTGTTATTTGTACGTCTATCGAAAGAAAATTAATTTCCCTATTATTACTCGGCATTACCGCGTTAAAATTGTAAATAAAATCCGTTAATTAACATGGTGGAAAACTGACTGAGAGGTGAGTCAATTAACCCTAGGAGTGAAAAACTGTGCGACGATGCGTTTTCTGTAGAGATGTGTTAATTAACCGACTGGTAAAACAAAATGAATGTCAATGGTGTGTATTGTTTAATTGGCGTGTTTTCTCGCTAGTATAATCAAGAGCCAACAAGCTTTATCTGAGACGTGGTGTTAAATCAAAAATGAAATGGAATGGGGTTTAACGTCCTACTGTTCTGCCCCTAAACTGGGCTAATGAAGACGGGCATACGCCATACACTGTGCTATGAGGGAAATTTTGCCCATCCGAACGACTAGACAGCTGTCCTTGTCAGGCCCTCCGTTCTGCAATCACTGACAAGGAAAAACCACGCCTGAAAATCTGGATGAACTTTCTCGGCCAATGCAGGGATCGAACACCCGGCCTCCAGGCAAGCGAGCCAAGTAATGTGTGATTCTAATCTATAATTAATATAACTTTATTACAGCAAAAAGACAAAGCAAATACAAGAATACCAAAGAAGGAAACCAGTCTCCTCTAAATGTAAGTATATATTATGGTAGTGTATAATATTTGTATTGATTGTATATATGATATTTGTTGTATCGACCCTTTAAAATGTGTGCGGTATTGTCCCTTTAAAGTAATATCTTCAAGCTGGTCAGTAATCCCTTTACAAAAGCAAGTCTAATCTGTACTCACTAAACTAAGCACAACTCAGCTTCTCTTGTCAAAGGTCACATGCAATCTAACCTTTTCACAAAGAACAGGACATCAGATCACTTCGTCCCCCCCCCCCCAGCAAAAATTCCTGGATCCGCCCGAGTTTGTGTCGGGGAGGTTAAAACCCAACTCTCTCTCTCTCCCTCTCTCTCGCATAATAAACTGTATGGAGAAAGTGTAAATTTGCATCTGTACTTAAACGGGCATTATATAAGAAATAAATCAGCCTATTGCATGTCTTACTTTGGTCATTAAATGTTATATAAATTTTGTGATGGCTTCTGGAAACTTCCAGAAATTATCTAGGCCTTCCGATTTTCCCGAACATAAATAGTTATGTTCATTTCAAAAATGACACATGGCGGTGTTGGCCCCAGATATTATCTTTCATTTTCAGAGACCTCGTTGGATAACATTTTCAACCGTTTGGTCGCTGTTTTGGATTGTACAAAAAATCTTCAAATCGATATTCAGCCACCACTATGATTCCGATTTTCAAAAACCTTTTTCTGTTTTGAACCTACTCCAAAGGGCAATAATTCTTCGGGAGCCGATTTTTGAATTTTGGTTTTGTTTACTTTCTCATTCACTTAAACATGCATTATGCAAGAGCTAAATCTGATTATTGCAAGTCTTAATTTAGGCTTCAGATGTTATAGAAATTATAAACTAGATCTTTATTTAAACAACAAGACCAAAATCAACTCTGTAGACCCATGGATGGCTCGGCTACATCTCGGATTTAGGATTTCACTAATTGATTAAATCAAATAAGGGGTAACCTGATGAAAATACGTCAGTTAGATCGAGGCTAAATGATAGAGTGTACTTAGCGAGGCCGCTGTAAAGCGTTTCCGTATGCCATTGAAAACTTTACTTGATAATCGAGATATGTAGGTGGAGTTAACGCCTGTCAATCAAACGATCGGCGAAGGTGAAGACGCATTTCGCTACCATTTTTAGTCAAATATTACAACGATGATAACTATGTTCAGAATAAAGTAATTTGACTGAATTTTTCAATATATTCTTCTTTCAGTATCTACTTTTGAACTGTTATAGCAAGAATGGCCAACTCTCTATAAAAATCTCCCATAATGTATCTTTAAATTGTTGGTTTATTTTGGGGTTTTTTTTTTACTTTTGTCCTTTTTTTTGTTTACTTTTTTCCTATCTGGTGACCTAGCCATTCAATAATCCTAGACTTTTGCATACACAATGACCCTGTCCACTAACTTGATTGTTGACGTGACAAAGCATGAGATGACGTGATATGACATCTTGAAAGACGTCAGTACTGTTTTTACGCAGTTCTAGTTTTGTTCTGGTGCTTTTTTGTAAGAAATCGGTGCATGTATATTATATACTAATACTATCAGGCCTAAATATAGCAATATCATCAATATGTTATATACTCATACTACTAGGCTTAATGTAGCAATATCATCAATATGTTATATACTTATACTACTAGGCTTAATGTAACAATATCATCAGTATGTTATATACTTATACTACTAGGCTTAATGTAACAATATCATCAATATGTTACATGTATATACTCATACTACTAGGCTTAATGTAGCAATATCATCAATATGTTATATACTCATACTACTAGGCTTAATGTAGCAATATCATCAATATGTTATATACTCATACTACTAGGCTTAATGTAACAATATCATCAATATGTTATATACCTATACTACTTGGCTTAATGTAGCAATATCATCAATATGTTATATACTTCTACTACTAGGCTTAATGTAGCAATATCATCAATATGTTATATACTTATACTACTAGGCTTAAAGACCACATAAGATTAAAAATCTTAATTGAATGTACTTATAGCCAATGGTTACTATATCCATTTTACGGCAAGTTCAAACCAATCTGATTAAAATTAATTCAGCTATTGAGGTTTAAGTATCCGAAAGCCAAAAACGGTTTTCAAATTTTCAATTACAATCTTAATCCGGTTGATTGGCTGGTGACGTCACAGGCACTACACATACTATATACCTTATCTATACAATACACACCACCAGTTGACAAGTGTATATGTGTCCAATTAACATGTGACTGGCATAGTCACAATCACCGAATTATCGTTTGCGTTGTTATAGATTACACATTTTTGATTGGAATATCTTAGAGTGAATTTAAAATGCCGTATCATACCAGCTGACAAGTGTGTATGTGTCCAATTAACATGTGACTGGCATAGTCATAATCACCGAATTATCGTCTTGCGTTGTTATAGATTACACATTTGTGATTGGAATATTTTAGAGTGAATTTAAAATGCTGTATCATGCCGTAGGTCCATTTAAGGTGCCATTGTTTAAATAGGCCCCATGAGAACTAAAGACGACCTAAGCAATTAGCGCATATACTGGTAATTTGGATAACCCGGTAATACTTGATATCCCAAACTATTCTCTTTAAGTACAGTAAGAATCTTGATGTATGCCTGTAGATCACCATGCTGAGTAAATGTGACCTGATCCAAGTGCTTGTCGCACAACTTCATTTTGTACTACGGGCACACAAGCATAAACTGTATGCCTTCTTGTTGCTGTGAATGAGCCAAACACAACTTTAGAAAGAATTTGCATTTTTGGAAAGCTTAGGCTGTGGACTATTCAAATATGCTGCCAGCTCTATTTTTACAAAAATGACCAAGAGCCTGGTTTTGTGGGAGCGGGTTACAAATGAAGAACCATATACATCACATTTATAGTTTGAATTCACAGATGTGTCTGTAGATCACTACTCTGATTAAATGATTTATTGCAAACATCACATTTGTAGGTGTTTCCACCTGTATGAATTCTCATGTGTGTCTTCAGATTACAAGTCACAATAAATGATGTACCACAAACATCTTCATTTTTCACCAGTATGAATTCTCATGTGTGTCTGTAGATGACCTTTGCAAGTAAATGATTTATTACAAACATCACACTTGTGAGGTTTTTCACCAGTATGACTTCTCATGTGTATCTGTAGATGATGACTCAGATTAAACGCTTTACTACAAATATCACACTTATAAGGTTTTTCACCAGTATGAATTCTCATGTGTCTCTGTAGATGATGACTCTGATTAAATGCTTTACTACAAACATCACACCTATAAGGTTTTTCACCAGTATGAATTCTCATGTGTGTCTGTAGACTACGACTCTGATTAAATGATTTATTACAAACACCACACTGATGAGGTTTTTCACCCGTATGAATTCTCATGTGTCTCTGTAGATGATGATTCAGATTAAATGATTTACCACAAACATCACACTTATAAGGTTTTTCACCTGTATGAATTCTCATGTGTCCCTGTAGATTACCAAACCGATTAAATGATTTACCACAAACATCACACCTATTAGGTTTTTCACCAGTACAAATTCTCATGTGTGTCAGAAGATTAGCCTTATAATTAAATAATTTACAACAAACATCACATTTGTAAGGCTTTTTTCCGGTGTGAGATATCGTGTGTGCTTGATGATTGCTCCTGTTAGTAAATGATTTGCTACAAACACCACATTTGTAAGAATTGTCTCTGGAACGAGTCTTCATATGAGCCTTCATGTGGCCATGTAGTTGACCACTGCCTTTACAACAAATAGCACTTTTACATTCAGTCGTTTTTCTTGGTGCAAAAGTTCTCATGTGACTCTGTAGACCACTTAACTGACTGAATGATTTCCTACAAACATCACAGTTATAGGGTTTTTCACCAGTATGAATTCTCATGTGTGTTTGTAGATTATGACTCAGATTAAATGATTTACTACAAACATCACACTTATAAGGTTTTTCACCAGTATGAATTCTCATGTGTATCTGTAGATGATGATTCAGATTAAATGATTTACTACAAACATAACATTTATAAGGTTTTCCTACAGTATGAATTCTCATGTGTTTCTGCAGAGAACAATGGTGTTTAAATAATATATCACAAACATCACATTTATAAAGTTTTTCACCTATATGAGTTCTCAAGTGTACTTGACGATTTGTGTCACTACTAAATGATTTACGACAGACATAACATTTATAACAGTTTTCACCAGTATTGATGGCCTCAGGTGGTTTACGATATCCATAACTTTTAGAACCTGTTTTATTTTCTATCTCTGTTTCATTAAACTGACTAAAACTTGATTTCAAATTTTTACCATGATGTAAATCAGAGTCATCCTCTTCTTTAACATGTATTTCACAGTGTTGTTCTAAATCAATTTCTGATTCAAATTCTTCATCACACAAATTACACTGATAGCTTGTTTCATTACCGCTAGTTTGCTCTTCTTTAACTTGTTGAATAATCTCATCATATACATGCTCAGTTCTTACATCATTAATGTCCTGTAAAATATAAAAGTTATAACATCATTATTGTCCTGTAACATATAAAAGTGGGGGGGTTGTATGGCTGAATGGTTAGCGTGTGCGCGCTGTATCATAAAGCCTGTCATTGAGTCGACTGACATGGTTTCGAATCCCCGGTTGTACGTGACAAGGAGTAGGGTCGCCTGTCCAACCTCGTGGGTTTTCTCCGGGTCCTCCGGTTTCCTCCCACTGCTAAAGACCCCTACGCGCAAGCGAATTATGTAAATAAAATTAAACCATATGTTAGTAACGAAATGACCTAGTTTGTGTCGAGTGGACTTTAAACCCCATTTCTTTCTCTCTCTCACATATAAAAGTTTATAACATTAGTTTTCTATAATATATAAAGGTTAAAACATCATTAGCTTCCTGTAATACATAAAATTTATATCATCACTAGTTTCCCGTAATATTTAAAAGTTATAACATCATTAGCTTTCGGTAATATTTAAAAGTTATAACATCTTAAGTTTCCTGTAATATATAGAAGTTATAACATCATTAGTCTCCTGTAATATACAAGCGCTGAAATAAGCGGCTGGACACGGACATGTCCGGGCGAATTGACCCCTTTTGACAATCCAAATTGCCTTTCGTCCGGACATAATTGTCCGACCGTGTTTTTGTAAAACATTAAACCAAAAGTATTAATTTCAATTCGCAAATTCGCGCAATTCGAGTTGATCGCTAATTATTATTAGACTCAAAAATCCAGGCCCAAAAATATCCATGACCTGAGTCATAGTGAAAATGTTCCTAATTATATCTCGGCCGCGTGCAGATAAAATAAACAATAATTTTTATTAATAAATGTATGTATAATAATATATATATAAACATAGTAAATTTCAACAGTTTTTTGGTATAATATACTTTATAAAGTATTTGTCAGGCTGAAAATCTGAAATGTCCGGCCGAAAATCAGTTCAGCCTGACAGGCTGACACTATGTCAGACTGAACCTTAGCAGTTATTTCAAGGCTTGGTAATATATAAGAAGTTCTAACTTATATTAAGCATTCTGTAGTAGATGGAGTTAAACTTCCTACTGTTCTGCTCTGACTGGGCTAATGAAGACGAGCTTACGCCATACAGTGTGCTATGAGGACAATTTTGCACGGGCAGCGGCACTATGGCCTATCCTTATTTTTCATCCCAAACGACCAGAAAGCTCTTTTTCTCAGGCCCTCTGTCATGCATCACACCGGAAAATCTGGATGAACTGTTTCGACCAATGCAGGGATGGAACACCCGACCTCCAGGCTTGCGAGGCAGAGTCTTACCCACTTAGCCACCGTGACCCCAATTCCAAAAAGAACTAGATTATAGATACCATGGTCATATTCGGCTCACAGAGACGGTTAGATAACAAATCTTAACTCTCAACCTTCTGTGTTTCGAGATAAGAGATGATGCCATTAACTCCAATGTAGCACATGCGGGAGTGGTTCGCACCCGGCATTTGTAAACAAAATTGACAATATTTTTAAACAAAGCAACGATTTATTATTGTTATTTATAATATTTCTGCCACATCCAACTATAATTTAGCATATAATCCTACCTGAAACGGGTACAAATTGTTGTTTTTAAAATCGAGGCGTTAAGCCGTTACTAAGACCGCCATCTTTTTAAAACTATACGTTGTCATCATGAAGGCGGGGCTAAATATAAAGCTTTTATAACAGCCAATCAAAAGGGCAATCTAAAGCATTTTAACTATGAATAGATTTCGATGGCGGTGAATGTCAGACAAAAACAATTCTTCATTAATTTAAACGCGAATATTTGGAGTTAGGCGACAGTTGTGCCACTACATTGGCCTCTGTAAGTTTAATTAATCATAATAGCATAAACTCATCTCATTTTAAAGATGTAACATGCATTAATAAAGAAATTGAGTTTGCCACTTGGAACTAAAGGCATCCGATCGTAGGTAAAAACAAACACATCAGTAGGCCTATATACGTTTTTAGCTACGTTCTCGTACTCCAGGGTGCCTCGAAGGGTTTCGTTCACACGTAACCTCTCGGTTCTTTAAACCCTCCTTTCTTAGAGCAATGAGCCACCGAATTGTTGGCGCATCAAATAGCCACGGGCTGAAAGGCGTCAGTCGATAAATTCTAAATGCATGTCCTACCTTATTGTGTTATCCACCTCTGAACAACAATAACACTCACTTACAAACAAACATTGTTCAGTGAAACAGGTTTATGAAAAATATCACATACACCAGCATTTCTTTCAGTTGCCATGTTGGGATAGTTTTACCTTTTTTTGAAGTCATATCCTCCGCATTAAAATTTGAGGACCCCTATTTTACCCGAAACGAAGTGTATTTTTGAACAATATTTTTATGGATTGCGTATATGTAGCCTACTGTTTTTGTAGAGATTTTATATCGGGATAGAAGACGATGTTTGTTAAAGAATAATTAAGTCGCTTTTCACACGTAGTTTAAAATACACAACGTCCATTGAGAACTTAATAATTATTTGTTGCATGATTAATTAGTAGTAGTATGCCTAGATCATGACCAGTGCTTGAAATGTAGGATTCTTCTACAACGGCACCAAAAATTTATAAATGCCGTAGCAAAAATTAGCTGACAAGGCACGGCTGCCTTTTTTTATATTGAACAAATATACTGTAACAGTTGTCATTTTCCGTCACTGAACGTGCAGTTTTTATATTTGTAGATAGACAAACGGCCCGTGCAATGATTTTCCGTGTCAATTAATCTGGTTCTAATTGCGTTTGGTGGTACTGTCATAAGTATAAAATTTACAAATTCCTCTTGATACGTGTACACGTGGACAACGGCGCAATTTGGGCTATTTTTATTACCGTGGCAGTCCGTGTTTGCTTCAGCTTTTACTTCTTACGACATTTTTGCCGTTATGCCGTGGTAAATTCTAGCATAGGCGGTATGCTTGAGATTATTATTTATAAAATGTTATTAAATGTTCATTACAATATAAATCCTTAAATTTGTCGGCGTTCGTAGAATGTTTCATCGCTACCGGTTGATTATGATAGCTTCTGTCTTGTCAATGTCACGTGACATTTTCCCGCTTTTTCTATCGTTGAAAATATCTATAATAAAGCATTGAGTCTTGTATCACACACACGGCAACTAAAATAAAAGGGCCGAGTGCCATTTTAAGTAAGAGACTAAAAAGTATGCTTTGTTTACAATTTGAATAATATTCTATGAAAAGATTTATTGGCTGCCGAGTCATTTTGAACAGATATCGGCTACGCAAATATCGGTAAAATTTCTTCTGATAGGCCACTCATCGGCCAATTAGGCTACTGAATAGTGAAACCGATAATTGGACCATCACTAAAAATAAATTTAAAATGATCGCCTTCAAATTATAGTCTCATGATTTCGTTTCGTTTAAAGAATTATGTTCGTAATATGCACCATGCCAGATTTCAACTTTGACCAATGTAGGTCATTTCCTGTTTCACTGTGTTTTGTTGTGTGTAGGCAAAGATTTTTGTGAAATCTCTTAAAAAAGACAGCAAAAAATATTTTTCGGAACATAGATGGATATGATACATGTATGTAAGTTTAATGTGTTAGCAGTGCAGATAACTGAAAATTGTGAATTTTGCCGTCCGCTGGAAGAAGAAAACTAGTTATCAACTTTTGCGACAAGGTTTTGATCGTTCAGTTGTTAGATGTTACGTCCTCAGAATATCAAACAGTAACATCTAACTTGTTGGATTAACGTTCTCGTAGCTAAGAGACGGTTACAAGAGGAACTAATACCAAGGTCATATTCGGTACCAAATCTACTCACCATGTTTGTTGGAATAATTTACTTCAATATTTTATATGTAGAGATACTTCATGTCTTCTTACAAATATTAAAGTCTTCTTACAAATATTAAACAGGCAGATGCACAATAAGTTAATCTTATCAGGACACACCTTCTAATGGCGATTGCGCCATTCCTGGAATGCAAGAAGATGGATGAAGCAGAAACAGAGACGCGGATCTAACCAACACGAATGACTCACATTTCAGTAGTTGCCTAGCCTAGCCTTGCTTTTCTACATCCTGCCACAGCTTCTTTTCTTCCCTCGATCTCCCCATTTGCTCTCCGGTCCTGTTTCAGGATTTTACATGGAGGGTAAATGAAGATCTGTGTGATAGTGACCACTTTCCTATCTTGATTGATAATAATGGAGAGAGAGAGAAATGGGGTTTAACGTCCACTCGACACAAACTAGGTCATTTCGGGACTAACATATGGTTTAATTTTTTATTTCAATAATTCGCTTGCGCATAGGGGTCTTTAGCAGTGGGAGGAAACCGGAGGACCCGGAGAAAACCCATGAAGTTGGACAGGTGACCCTACTCCTTGTCACGTACAACCGAGGATTCGAAACCCTGCCAGTTGTCACATGCTAACCATTCGGTCACCCCCCCACCCTCCTTCAGTTAATGAAGGATAAGTATTCTTAGTGAAGGATGAGATAGTGAGGGCTGACTTGATCTCGGCAAGGGACAGCACTCTATTATTCATGGCCGCTTCAACATTGATAAATAAAGTCGACAACCCGACATCACGACACCACGACAACCAGACATTACGACATTTTTACGCGACAATACGACATTTTTACGCGACATTACAACATTCTTAATGTGGTGTCGGGTGAAAATGTCGTAGTGTCGAGTTATAATGTCGTGATGTCGGGTTGTCGCCTTATGAAGGGTGACACCACAACATCACGATATGATACCAATCAGCCACCATAACAATATGATACCAATCAGCCACCATACTTAAGAGCCATACTTGCGTTATACCAAATGATCCGTGGGCCCGTAGAACCTTACGTCAAGTAAAGAAATCTTCATGGCAAGGTTACATCTCAAGGATCAATTCCCTACCAAATCGGTATGAGATAGAATTCGTAGGATTAAAGATAAAAGTTGTGTATTATCAGTTAACCATCTAAATGTTGATAATAACACCTTAACAACATTTCCTGATATCGCTAATTCTCTGGTCAGTACTTTCGCGTTCAATTCATCATCCAGTTTCTCCTCTGGTGCCTTTCGGGAGAAAAGGCGAATTAATATCAAGTTCCGCAATGATGAATGTTATAATGATATATATCAAATTTCTAAAACATTTACCTTTTCCAACACTCTTAATCTTACTGGATTTTTTGGGTTGATGGGAATTTCCCTCCTTCGCGGCATGAAGTTACAATAATCCCCATCCCTAAACCGGGTACAGATCATACGAATCCTACCAAATATAGTCCGAGCACTTTAAGTAGCTGTATTTGCAAAACCATGGAGAAATTGATCAATCGAAGGCGTGTTTGGTACTTTGGGTCCAACAAGCTTATTACTGACCTACAATGTGGATTTTGGTCCCTTGTTCATATCGTTTAGTTTGAAACGTTCGCCATGGACGCTTTCATCCTGAAACAACATCTGGTTGCAATATTCGTAGGATTAAAGATAAAAGTTGTGTATTATCAGTTAACCATCTAAATGTTGATAATAACACCTTAACAACATTTCCTGATATCGCTAATTCTCTGGTCAGTACTTTCGCGTTCAATTCATCATCCAGTTTCTCCTCTGGTGCCTTTCGGGAGAAAAGGCGAATTAATATCAAGTTCCGCAATGATGAATGTTATAATGATATATATCAAATTTCTAAAACATTTACCTTTTCCAACACTCTTAATCTTACTGGATTTTTTGGGTTGATGGGAATTTCCCTCCTTCGCGGCATGAAGTTACAATAATCCCCATCCCTAAACCGGGTACAGATCATACGAATCCTACCAAATATAGTCCGAGCACTTTAAGTAGCTGTATTTGCAAAACCATGGAGAAATTGATCAATCGAAGGCGTGTTTGGTACTTTGGGTCCAACAAGCTTATTACTGACCTACAATGTGGATTTTGGTCCCTTGTTCATATCGTTTAGTTTGAAACGTTCGCCATGGACGCTTTCATCCTGAAACAACATCTGGTTGCAATATTTTTTATCTGGAGAAAGCATATGATATCACGTGGAAACATGGCATCATGCGCGACCTCCATAACCTCGTAGGCAGGTCGCTTACCTATTTTCATTAAAAATTTCTGGGAAGATAGGTAATTTAAAGTACGACTGGGATCAATATTCTCTGACCCATTTCCTCAGGGAAGCATATTATCTTCTACCCATTTTTTCTGAGGATGGTATCGGCATTGACAGTGTTGCGAATACACTTTCTTTGGGGCTCCATCGTGCGCTATTACTCCCCACAAGATCGATTTCGATCATACTCAACAAAAAAAAAGAGATACTAGCTCAATAGTGTTCCAAACTCTCTTTAGAGAGCTAAGGTCTAAATATGGTGGTTATGCTCCTATTTACATGGATGGTTCGAAGGATGGTGATCGGGTAGCTTCGGCTACCTTGACGCCATCGGAGAACATATCTGTCCGTCTTCCACCTGCTGCTTCCATATTTACATATTTCTTAAGTCCTTGGAGTTCATTCAAACCTCAAATATACTACAGCATGTCATCTTTACTGTTCCTCTGTCATCGCTTCAAGCAATTAACAATAAACAGCTTGAATACCAATAAGTAGCAGATGTTTATCCTCTACCACTATTTTACGAATTTAACATCAAAGAAGTTGTCTTTTGCTAGCTCACCAGACACGTTGATATAAGGGGGAATGATCAAGCAGATTTACCTGCCAATGTTTCATTAATCAAGCTGCGCTGGAATTAAGCCTACCCATTAAGTTTGTTTTCAAAATTTTGTTTCTTTCCACAAAGTCTATCCATATCCAATTCTAGCGGAAGTCAGATAAATCTTACTTTGATTGATTTACAAACTGTACTTGATTACCCAATCAGCAACATTTACCCTAGAACCGTCAGGTGCTAATTAATTTATTACTTGTTGGGATTAACAGATTAACTAATTGGTAATAAACAGTTAGAATTAATTTATTTCATTAAGTCATACAACTTTTGAGATACAATATAAACATATAATATAATAAAATACAAAAAAAAAGTTTAATATATAAATAAAGAGAAGGAGAGGAATGGGGTTTAACGTCAACTCGACACAAACTACGTAACTTTGGGACTAACATGTGGTTCAATTTCATTTTAAAAATTCTCTAGCGCGTAGGGACTTAAACTGGGGGCAGAAGCCAAAGGACCCGGGAGAGCCCAGGAGATTTGACAGGCGACTCTACTCACGTACAAGCAGAAATTGAAACCATGCCACTTGACTCAAACGCGGACGCGTTAATCATTCGGCCAGCCCCCACCCCCCCCCCAACCCCTACTAGGCTGAATGTAACAATATCAGATACTCATAATATCAGTCCTTAATGAAACAATATCACCATTTCCCGATATATTTATGATTTGCCATCCATATTACCATTTTATATACTCACAATATAAGGCCTTAATGTGTTTGGACCGGTGACCCTACTTCTTGTCACATACAAGTGAGGGATGAAAACCATGCTACTTGTATTTATGAACAAATGTTCATGTGTTCAACCATTCGACCACCCACCCATCAGTGTTAGATGTGTTTAACCATTCGACCACCCACCCATCAGTGTTAGATGTATCTACATGTATTTTACTATGAATTCACCTGTGTACCTTTAGAATGTGGCTATTTGGATTCCTCTTACAAAAATATGATTTACTACAAACATCACATTTATGTTTCTCTCTAGTTTGAGTTTGCATGTGTGTCTTCATGTGTGTCTTCATGTGTGTCTTCATGTGTGTCTTTAGATGGCAATAACATTTGTAAAGTATTTCTCCAGCATGAAGTCTTGTGTATCTCTGCAGATGACAATTCACAATAAATGCTTTATTACAAAATGTCATTTATAAGATTTTTCATCAGTATGAATCTTGATGTGTGCCTGTAGATCACTGTTCTGAGTAAATGAATAACCACATACATCACACTTTTAAGAATTGTCATTTGTATAAATTCATATGTATGACTGTAGTTGACCACTCTGATCAAATGATTTATTGCAAACATCACATTTGTGTGGTGTTTCCACCTGTATGAATTCTCATGTGTGTCTGTAGATTAAAACTCACAACAAATGATTTACCACAAACATCACATTTATAACGTTTTCACCAGTATGAATCATCATGTGTTTCTGTAAATTACCATTTTGATTAAATGATTTATTACAAACATCACACTTATAAGGTTTTTCACCAGTATGAATTCTGATGTGTGCCTGTAAATTATTACACTGATTAAATGATTCACCACAAACATGATATTTATAGGGTTTTTCACCAGTACAAGTCCTGCTCTGAGCAGTATGAGTTTTCATGTGTATCTGTAGATGATGATTTTGATAAAATGATTTACCACAAACATCACATTTGTATGGTGTTTCACCAGTATGGATTCTCATGTGTGTCTTTAGAGTAAAAGTATGCTTAAATGATTTACCACAAACATCACATTTATAAAGTTTTTCTACAGTATGAATTCTCATGTGTTTCTGAAGAGAACAATGGTGTTTAAATAATTTATCACAAACATCACATTTATAAAGTTTTTCACCTATATGAGTTCTCAAGTGTACTTGACGATTTGTGTCACTACTAAATGATTTACGACAGACATAACATTTATAACAGTTTTCACCAGTATTGATGGCCTCAGGTGGTTTACGATATCCATCACCTGTAGAACCTGTTTTATTTTGTATCTCTGTTTCATTAAACTGACTAAAACTTGATTTCAAATTTTTACCATGATGTAAATCAGAGTCGTCCTCTTCTTTAACATGTATTTCACAGTGTTGTTCTAAATCAATTTCTGATTCAAATTCTTCATCACACAAATTACACTGATAACATGTTACAATTTCTTCTTTAACATGATAACATTCATCTACTGGTACATGGTCAGTTTTCTCTTCTTTAACATGTATTTCACAGTGTTGTTGTAAATCAATTTCTGATTCAAATTCTTCATCACACAAATTACACTGATAACATGTTACAATTTCTTCTTTAACATGATAACATTCATCTACTGGTACATGGTCAGTTTTCTCTTCTTTAACATGTATTTCACAGTGTTGTTCTAAATCAGAGTTAGATTTAAATTCTTTGTCACACAAATTACACTGATAGCTTGTTTCATTATCACTAGTTTGTTCTTCTTTAACTTGTTGAATAATCTCATCATGTACATGCTCAGTTATGATATCGTTATTGTCCTGTAAAATATAAAAGCTATAACATCATTAGTCTCCTGTAATATATAAGAAGTTTTAACTTATATTTAGCATTCTGTAGTAGATTGATAATAGGGTAGGGTCGGTCTGTATTTTCTTTTATTTTTTACCAATTTTCTAAATTCTGCCAATTATTGACACCAAATGACATAAAATGATTGAGGTTAAACTTCCTACTGTTCTGCTCTGACTGGGCTAATGAAGACAAGCCTAAGCCATACAGTGTGTTATGAGGAAAATTTGCACGGGCAACGGCACTATGGTCTATCCTTATATTGAATTCCAACTGCCAAGGGATCTTTAATATGTACACGGGACCTCAGTTTTCCGTTTCATCCGAATGACTACACAGCTGTTCTTCTCAGGTCCTTCCCATCCTGCATCAATGACAAGGGGGAATTATGCTGGAAAATCTGGATGAACTTTCTCAGCCAATAAATGCAGGCAATGAACATCCGACCTCCAGGCTAGCGAGCCAGAGTCTTACCCACTTAGCTACCGTGATCCCCAGTTCAGAAAGGAACTCGATACCAAGGTCATATTCGGCTCAGAGACAGTTCCAAAAGGAACTAGATTGTAGGCTAGATACCAAGGTCATATTTGGTATTCGGTACCAAATCTACTCACCATGTTGGTTGGAATAGTTTACTTCAATATTTTATATGTAGAGATACTTCATGTCTTCTTACAAATATTAAACAGACAGATGTTCAAAAACTTCATCTTATCGGGACACGCCTTCTAATGATGATTGCGTCATTTCTGGAATGCAGGAAGATGGTTAAAGCAGAAATATAGACGCGGATCTACTCAACACGAATGACTCACACTTCAGTAGTAGCCCAGCCGAGTGACAGCCCCAACGTATTAAATGATGACTCGTCTATTTTTCTACATACTCTTCTTTTCTGGATCTCACCATTTGCTCTCCGGTCCTGTTTCAGGATTTACATGGAGGGTAAATGAAAATATGTGTGGTAGTGATAGTCCGGTGGCTGAAGGGGGGGGGGGGGATCGCCACCCGAGCTGTGAATTTATGAGACCATGTTTTTCTAGACCAGTTTTTTGCGTAGATTCCGAATCTGGGTGGTGATCAGGCGCTTGATATGGGGGGACCAATGTCTACAATAGGGGGGAAACTGGTCTAGAAAAACTTGGTCTCATAAATTCACAGCTCGGGTGGCGATTCCCCCCCCCCCTTCAGCCACCGGACTATGACCACTTTCGTATCTTGATTGATAATAATGGTTCCTCTCCGGTTGAACGACCTTTGTGTCTCTTCTCTTCTGTTGGAAAGGAAATGAAATTAAATAGGGTTTAAAGTCCTTGTGTTCTGCTCCGACTGGGCTAATGAAAACGGGCATAGTCCATACAGTGTGCTATGAGAGAAATTTTGCCCGGGCAGCGACACTATGGCCTACTCTTATATCGAATTCCAACTGCCAAGGGATCTTTTACGTGAACGCCAATATATTCACGGGACCTCGGTTTTTCGTCTCATCCGAATGACTAGACAGGTGTCTTACATCCCGATGAACTTTTTCGTCCAATGCTGGGATCGAACAAGCGACCTCCAGGCAAGCGAGCCACAGCGTCTTACCAACTTGGCCACCGTGGCTCCCTGATGGAAAAGAGTTAGAACATGCAGATGCGCCCATGGTCTTATTCATTTCGATTCTCTACGATGTAGCTGAGCGGGAGATTCCAGAAACCACGACTAAACCAAAATGTTTCAATAATCCATGGTATAATGACGATTGCAAATCCGCTCTTACAGAGCATGATCGTAGTTTGAGATGACTTAAGAGCCATACTTGCGGTATACCAAATGGCCCGGGTGAAGGTCCGTAGAACCATACGTCAAGTAAAGAAATCTTCATGTCAAGATTACGTCTCAAGGATCAATTCCCTACCAAATCGGTATGGGATAGGATTCGTAGGATTAAAGGTAAAAGTTGTGCATTATCAGTTAACCATCTAAATGTTTATAATACCACCTTAACAACATTTCCTGATATCGCTAATTCTCTGGCCAGTACTTTCTCATTCAATTGATCATCCAGTTTCTAGTCGGATGCCTTTCGAGAGAAAAGGCGAAATAGTTTCAAGTTTCGCAATGATGAATGTTATAATGATAGGCTACGTTTTCCATTGCAGGGCTTCGTGATTCGCTAAAGCGGCTTCTGGATACTGCAACTGGTCCAGATGAAATACACTATCAAATTTTAAAACATTTACCTTTTCCAACACTCTTAATCTTACTGGATCTTTTGGGTTGATGGGAGTTTTCCCCCCTTCGTGGCATCAAGTCACAACACTCCCCATCCCTAAACCGGGTACAGATCATACGAATCCTACCAAATATCGTCCGACAAGTAGCTGTATTTGCAAAACCATGGAGAGATTGATCAATCGAAGGCGTGTTTTGGTACTTGGGCCAAACAAACTTATTACTGACCTTCAATGTGGATTTCGGTCCCAAGGGAGCACCCTTGATTATCTCGTTTAGTTCGACACTTTCCTCCTGAAACAACCCCAGACTTCCACTCAGCTTTGGTCCTACTATGGCCCACATCTGGCAGCATCTGGCTAGATGTGGCCCATATCCAGCCAGATGTTGCCACATGTGGGCCACAGTCTGGGTAACACTTGGCAACTATTGGCTCACTACTGATGAATTAAACTTATTTTTGTAACTGGTATCTAAGAATATCTTGTCAATTTGTTTAAAAGTTTTAATTTTTTTGTTTTATATTCAAAACATATGAAAAAATAATATTATGCGAGAAGTTTGCTATATCTGGGCCAGAGATGGCCCACATCCAACTGGCCAAATGCCTCAAAATATCAACACAATAAATTTCGGCTCAGAATATGACATCTAGTTTCCAGTAGAATTTTCTTGTGTTCTATATTAGTTTTATTACAGTCTTAAAATAATATTTTTTGAATGTACTGTATATAATAAGAATGGAATCCTCTCAACCCACCCTCCCCAAAAAGCCAGTAAATGTAAATATTTAAAGCAAAAATAATAAATTATTCTTGAAAGAAGTCAATGAAATAAAGACAAAGTTTATTTGAACATAGCCCAAGTGTTGGGTATCATGCTACAAAGTAGTTAGATTTTAATTACTATAGCAGATTCTGTACTCAGATTATACAATTTGTGGAGCCAGCATGTAAATCTTTCAACAAAGCATAATTAACAGCCCATTTACTATCTTGAAATCTGTTTGGTCATTGGCTGAATTTAAAATTGTAAAATTCAGTGTAAAACAACTTAACAGAATTTAGTACTAACAAGAAACTGAAGACATTGCAGTGCCCATGGTACACAACTGTGCATTATTTTCACAGAACGTAGTTAAAAGATAAAAAAGATAAGTACATTTTATTACTTTCTCTAAAATAATATTAAATTAGATAAGATTTATGTGATTTCATTATTTGAATAACTTCATTTAACTCTTTTTTTGCCTTGGCAAATAAGAATTATTTGACTTAATACTTTGGTACTTGCATTGACAGACCCCTAGGCCATGCTTGATATAAAGAAGGAAAAACATGTTTTTTTAAGTACATTTTTTTGCATTTATTGCAGGTGTGATCAAATTTCACCACAAGGATGCAATGGAAAATAATTTCAAAAATGTTGTAAAAAACTGGTTGAATGGGGGAAGAACAAAAACAAGGGGAAGAGGAGGAGGAGACAGCTGCAGGAACAAGGGGAGAATGATATTGACATGGATAATTTGTATGCCTTATAACGACCAGTGAATTCTTGTTGAAACGTCGTCGTGTGTATATAATATAGTGATTGTTATCCATAGAACTGTGTTGTGTTATATGGATGAATAAATTTTATAATTGAAGATTTTGCTTTTGTTGTAAATGTATGTTGTTTGTGCTGCATGCAAGATATCCTTAATTTCTACTATCTGGAGTACGAAATGGAATTGGGAAGAAAGTCTTGGCTGGAGAGACTTTAAGAAGGGGCGATAAAGAGAAAAATGGGTTGTAACGTCCATTTGACACAAACCAGGTCATTTTGGGACTAACATATGGTTCAACACTATTTCAATAATTTGCTTGTGTGTAGGGTTCTTTAGCAGTGGGAGGAAAGGACCTGGAGAAAACCGACGAGGTTGGACAGGTGACCCTACTCCTTGTCACGTACAAGCGAGCATTCGAAACCACGCCACTTGACTCAATGACAGACCTTATAATTTCAAGCGTACGCGATAAACCACTAGACTATCCAACCTCTGACTTTAAGAAGGGATAGGACAGGGATTAACCGTATGTTTTCAGGTTGCCATCTTTGGCCCACATCTGGCATGGCATGATTTTCACGTGTGGGACATATTTGGGCCAGGTATGGGCCAGTTGTGCCAGCTCTGGCCCACATGTGGCAGGCCATATCTTTGCCAGCTGTTAGCCAGATCTGGCCCATACAAGGCGGGCGTGTGCATTAGCGAATGTGGGCCAGATCTGGCTCTGACTGGGCCACGTCCGGCCCAGATATGCTAGACTTGGCCCAGCTGTGGCATGCCATATCCGGCCCAATCATTTTGCCAGATGTTGCCAGATATGGGCCGTGTCTGGGCCAAATATGATGTGTTGTCTGGGACATGTCGTTGCAATATTTTTTATCTGGAGAAAGCATATGATACACGTGGAAACACATGTTCCTGAAGCAACGATCGCGAGTTTTACAACATCTAACCGTTGCTTCAGAACTGGACAATTCCCGAAATTTTGAGCTCGTTGTGTTTACACGTGATCAATTAGCATTGTCCAATCAGGGGTCGTCGCACATAACACACTGTAAACAAATATGGCGGCCTCCATTGAAACTCTTTGTTGATCAGGTCTGATTTCCAGCAACCTCGACATTGGTCGAACCTTGAACTTTGCAACTCGATTGTCACATGTAGACATTTTAGCTATAAGCGCGAGACTTGATAATCGTAACGATATTTTTAACGAAGGAATCTGATAGGATCACAAGCTGGGCTTATACCCAATCAAAAATAGTGCCAAAATTATATGTGGGGTATTACGTGAAGGGCTTGATAAGATGTACGTAGTTAAGGCGAGATTAAGCCTTCTATTGAAGATGGTGGAAACATGGTATCACGCGCGACCTCCATAACCTCGGCCTACGAGGTCGCTTACCTATGTTCATTAAAAATTTCTTGGAAGATAGGTCATTTAAAGTACGACTAGGATCAATATTCTCCGACCCATTTCCTCAGGGAAGCATATAATCTTCTACATTAAAAATGTCCTGGAAGATACACGTAGGTTTTGCTTCTATTACATCGAGCAGTATTTCGATCCGAACTCGATTATGGGTGTACTGTTTATTGGTCTGCCCGCGAGTCTTATCTCCAAGAGCTTGACACCATACACACCCTGGGCCGTGTAATCAATTTATGAGCATTTTAACATCTTCAGTGGACAGATTATACGTCGAGGTGCACGAGCCCTCATTGCACAACAGGCGTAATAACCTTGTCCTGCTGTATGCTACGAACATTGCGTCACTACCAAATAATATTTCAAGTTGTTCCGTCATTCGGTATTTGCATACAACCCCAAAAGGTCGATTTCGATCTTACACAACATAAAAAATGATACTAGCTCGATGGTGTTCCAAACTCTCTTTACAAAGCTATGATCTAAGTATGGTTATGCTCCCATTTACATGGATGGTTCGAAGAATGGTGATCGGGTAGCTTAGGCTACCGTAATGCCATAAGTGAACATATCTGTCCGTCTTCCACCTGCAGCTTCTATTGTTACAGCTGAGCTCCAAGCTATTCGGGGGTCACGGTGGCTAAGTGGGTAAGACGCTGGCTCGCTAGCCTGGAGGTTGTGTGTTCGATCCCTGCATTGGCCGAGAAAGTTCACGCAAATTTTCCAGCGTCGTTCCCAATTGTCAGTGATGCAGGACGGAGGTCCTGACAAGGACAGCTGTCTAGACATTCGGATGAGACGAAAAACCGAGGTCCCGTGTACACATTGTCGTGCACGTAAAAGATCCCTTGGCAGTTGGAATTCCATATAAGGGTAGACCGTAGTGCCGTTGTCCGGGCAAAATTTCCCTCATAGCACACTGTATGGCATATGCCCGTCCCCTTAGTCCAGTTCGGGGCAGAACAGTAGGGTAGATAAACATTATAGGATACAGGGTAGATAAGCACCATAGGATACAGGGTAGATAAACACCATAGGATACAGGGTAGATACACGTTATGGGGAAAATGACACGGATAGATGTCATGGGGAAACGGGGTTGTCAGTCGCCAAAGGGAAAATGGCAAGGATAGATATCAATGGGGAAACAGTGTTGATAAACATCATAGGGAAAATGGCGTTGACAGTCGCCATAGGGAAAATATATGGCGTTGATAGTCGATGACAATTCGATGAAACCTTAAAGGCAGAAAATGTTGAGCTTGTCCGTGCTAATATGACTCAGATTGATTTTAAAAATTTAATTAAAAAAAACAAAATTAAAAAATAAACACTAGATAATCTCTCAGCTTGAATTCAATCAGATTTTAAAAATTTACAGATAACAAAATGGTGGCAGGTTTATGATACAGCACGCACATGCTAAACATTCAGCCATCCAACCCCCCGAACTAAATTTATCACTAAGTCGTCCATCCACAACAAAACACGAAGTAATTTAGTCACCATGACAATAACCTCCTACAGCTAAATGGGAAGTATCTGAGTCACAATCATCTCCTTTTGCAAAAGAGGAATCATTATAGTCATCATGATGATGACATATTTAAAAGTCTTCTCTTCTTATTATAAATGTGCAAAGGTATTCACACATATAACCAGCAAACAGTTTTATTGTTCAGTCCCTGTATAAATTGTCATATGAAGAGTCCAGGGGAAGAACGATCTAAGTTACAAAATTTTGTGTTTGTTCGCATAAAATAAAATGAAATGAAATGGGGTTTAACGTCCTACTGTTTTGCTCCAAACTGGGCTAATGAAGACGGGCATACACCATACAGTGTGCTATGAGGGAAATTTTGCTCGGACAGCGGCACTACGGCCTACTCTTATATCGAATTCCAACTGCCAATGTGTACACGGGACCTCGGTTTTTCGTCTCATCCGAATGACTAGACAGCTGTCCTTGTTAGGCCCTCCCCTCTGCATCACTGACAAGGGGGAATCATGCCGGAAAATCGAGATGAACTTTCTCGGCCAATGCAGGGATCGAACACCCGACCTCCAGGCTAGGTAGCCAGCGTCTTACCCTCTTAGCCACCGTGATCCCCCTTGTTCGCATAAAAGGCAAAACAGACTTTTGGACGAGAATGCTGGAGGCAAACAGAACGAGTGGGTTTAATTACAACTTCAAAATGATGTTTAATACGAATCATAATTACCAGTACAACAACTGACTTCCACTTTTCAGCCAAATTAAGGTCAAATAAAGGGTACGATGGACGTATTTGTCCGGGAGGCCATTTCAGAAGGGCCTTGGTTTGATGTGACTCTGATCGTTTTTACCTGAAATTGATTGTTCCACAGAAAGCTTATACAATTTGCTACCAGATGGCACCATTAACTGGGGTTAGTTGAAAAAGTGACTTAGATCGTTCTTTCCCCGGGGCTCTTCATATGTGTCTGGAGATTACATTTATTATTAAACATCACATTTCTCTAGTATGAACTCTACCATGTATTTTTAAACAGTATTGTCTAGTAAATGATTTACTACACACATCACATTTCTCTAGTATGAACTCTACCATGTATTTTTAAACAGTATTGTCTACTAAATGATTTACTACACACATCACATTTATGTTGTTTCTGTCTAGTATGAATCATAACATGTGTTTTTAAACAGTCTCGTCTATGAAATGATTTACAACAAATATCACACTTAAAAGGGGGGGGGGGGTTGGATGGCTGAATGGTTAGCGAGCGCGCGCTGTATCATAAAGTCTGTCATTGAGTCGACTGGCGTGGTTTCGAATCCCCGGTTGTACGTGACAAGGAGTAGGGTCGCCTGTCCAACCTCGTGGGTTTTCTCCGGGTCCTCCTGTTTCCTCCCAATGCTAAAGATCCCTACGCGCAAGCGAATTATTGAAATAAAATTAAACCATATGTTAGTCCCGAAATGAACTAGTTTGTGTTGAGTGGACGTTAAACCCCATTTCTCTCTCTCTCTCTACACTTATAAGGTTTTTTGCCAGTATGAGTTCTCATGTGTATCCATGGTAACTAAATGGTTTACTACAAACATCACATTTAAAAGATTTTTTGCCAGTATGTGTGTTTTTAGAGTGTGTTGTCTGGAAAATGATTTACTACAAACATCACATTTAAAAGGCTTGACTCCAGTATGTGTTCTCATGTGCGACTTTAGATGATGACTCAGATTAAATGATCTTCTACAAACATCACATCTGTAAGGTTTTTCACCAGTATGAATTCTTATGTGTTGAGGTAGATGATGACTCAGATTAAATGATTTACCACAAACATCACACTTGTATTAACTTGTAAGATTTTTCACCAGTATGAATTCTCATGTGTACCTGTAGACTACCATTCCGACTAAATGATTTACCACAAACATCACACTTATAAGATTTTTCACCAGTATGAATTCTCATGTGTGTCTGTAGATTATGACTCAGATTAAATAATTTACCACAAACATCACACTTGTAAGGTTTTTCACCAGTATGAATTCTCATATGCTTCTGTAGAGTACCTGCTACAGAGTATATCCCCGGTTGTACGTGGCAAGGAGTAGGGTCGCCTGTCCAACCTCGTGGGTTTTCTCCGGGTCCTCCCACTGCTAAAGCCCCCTACGCGCAAGCGAATTATGGAAATAAAATTAAACCATATGTTAGTCCCGAAATGACCTAGTTTGTGTCAAGTGGACGTTAAACCCCATCTCTCTCTCGCTACAGAGTATGATTTACCACAAGGTTTGCTCTTTGTGGTATTTTTAGTTTTTCTGTTGACCATGTTTAACTGAAAGAGAAAGGGTTACAATAACTATATTTATAGGGAGTATGGGGATCATCATATTCAATTCATTTTAGGGGAATTGGGTGGTTAACAGTATTTTAGGGGAATTAGGTAATTGAACAGTATTTTAGGGGAATTGGGTGGTTGAACAGTATTTTAAGGGAATTTGGTGGTTGAACACTATTTAGGGGAATTGGGTACAGTATTTTAGGAGAATTTGGTGGTTGAACAGTATTTTAGGGGAATTGGGTACAGTATTTTAGGGGAATTGGGTACAGTATTTTAGGGAAATTAGGTGGTTGAGCAGTATTTTAGGAGAATTGGGTGGTTGAGCAGTATTTTAGGGGAATTGTTGTAGAGTATTCTAGGGGAATTGGGTGGTTGAAGAGTATTTTAGGGGAATTGTTGAAGAGTATTTTAGGGGAATTGGATGGTTGAACGGTATTTTAGATCACAAGACCTGTCATAAATCCTGTTTACATTAAAAAATTTAAGTGGTTAATTTTTCGTGGCGTAAACGCTATCCGGTTTGAGAACGGTTCTCAGTATAGAATACTGAACTTTGACCTTTTTTTCCCTCAAACTCTGACAGGTCTTTCATCAGTTCTGTCAAGGGGGTTGGATGGCTGAATGGTTAGCGTGCGCGTGCTGTATCATAAAGTCTGTCATTGAGTCGACTGGTGTGGTTTCGAATCCCCAGTTGTACGTGACAAGGAGTAGGGTCGCCTGTTCAACCTCATGGGTTTTCTCCAGGTCCTCCGGTTTCCTCCCACTCCTAAAGATCCCTATGCGCAAGCGAATTATTGAAATAAAATTAAACCATATGTTAGTCCCGGAATGACCTAGTTTGTGTCGAGTTGACGTTAAACACCATTTCTCTCTCTCTCTCAGTTCTGTCAAAATGGCTGTCCAAACTAAATCAACCGCCATAATGGTTTTCATTCAGGAAGTTTGATTAGGGACTGAAATTAACTTTTCTGTGAAGAGTGCTATATTTGGCATGCCTGGCACAGTTCCTGCGTGGTTTCCCCTTGTCAGTGGTGCAGTACGGATATCCTGACACGGTCAGCTGTCTAGTCGTTCGAATTGAACGAAACATCGAGGTCCTGTGTACATATTTTCTACATTTTGATTGGCTGTTGTTCATGTCATGTTTAGTCCAGCCTTCATGACATTATACACCTCCCCTGTTTTAAAATGTTGGACATAGAAAGAGTTTTTAAGGCTTTGATTTAAGAGAGATGAATTGTACCGTACCAATGTCAGATAGTATTATATACTTAATTGTAGTGAGAGAGAGAGAGAGAGAAATGGGGTTTAACGTCCACTCGACACAAACTAGGTCATTTTGGGACCAACACTCAATTTAATTTTTTTTTTATTATTTCAATAATAAGTTTGCGTGTAGGGGTCTTTTGCAGTGGGAGGGAACCGGAGGATCCAGAGAAAACCCACGAGGTTGGACAGGCACCCCTACTCCTTGTCACATATACAACCGGGGATTCAAAACCACGCCAGTTGACTCAATGACAGGCCTTATGATACAGCGTTCACATGCTATAACCATACAGCCATCCCACCTCCCCTTAATTGTAGTGTACAAGTGTCACATCTGCATCTGTAAAAAAGGAACTATACAGTACCACCTCTTATCTTGAGACAGGCAGGGTCAAGAGATGAGATTTCTTATCTAACATCCCCTCATGGGCTAGATATTTTTGTTAAGGCCAACTCAAGATTTTGTCAAGGTCACCGAGATATAAATAAGGTTATATGGCACATGATTGTTGACAAGATTGTAGTTTATGGTTTGGGTAGGCCTAAGCGTTAGGGTAAGTGTTAGGATTACGGTTTAGCGCCAGCACTGTTTACATCCTGTGAGTTTTGACCAAACTTGAAGTTGTCCTTATGAAATAGATCTAACCTCCCCTCATGCCTCACATTGCTCCATAAATTATATACAACTAGTATAATTTACCCCAAATAAGAAATGAAATGAAATGAAATGGGGTTTAACATCCTACTGTTCTGCTCCTAACCTGGGCTAATGAAGACGGGCATACGCCATACAGTGTGCTATGAGGGAAATTTTGCCGGGGCAGTGGCATTACAGCCTACTCCAACTGCCAAGGGATCTTTTACGTGTACGCCAATGTGTACACAGAACCTCGGTTTTCCGTCCCATCCCAACGACTAGACAGCTGTCCTTGTCAGGCCCTACCCCAAATAAGACATGTATTATACTTACTTACATAAACTGTAGCATGCTATAACACGGTTCGGTCGGTCCTGTAGTTTTACGTCCACTTCTACCAAGCGTGATATCGTAGACAAGATATGGTTTGCTCTTATATTATCCCGGGACGTCGTTATACGAAGTGACAGTATTGCATTCGAGTGAGTTCTGTCACTGTTCTGTGAGTCTGTCAAGAGAACGACTAAGGTAGGGCGAGTAAATCTTGACATAATCAAACACAACGACTCTCTTTGGTTGAGGTGAGTTCTTTTTCAGTCAACGCATGCGTTGTAAACCAGTCATAATTTTTAAAATCAATCGTCACATATCGTGGGATTTCGAAAATTCAGTCGGGTCATAATTTTTAAAATCAATCGTCACATATCGTGGGATTTAGAAAATTCAATCATGTATTTTATTTACTCCCCCAAGTGTTGTTATTTTTTTTTTTTTTGTTGTTTTTTATTTAGTATAAATCGTATTTATTTACAAAATAATTTTAGTATAATTATTTGATTTGGTGTTGTATCACATGGTATTTTTTTTTTTTTTTTTTGCCTTGGGGGGGGGGGGGGGGGTGCATTTTGATAGACTAGGTTGAGTTTAAAAATTTGAGAGAACAAACAAAACACAAAAACTAATAAAATATGCCAAACAAAACAAAAACTTAACCCAATAAGGGGTTTGGTTTGGGGCTACCGGGGGCTCAAAAGAAACTTGGCACACCTTATAAAAAGGTTGGGGTGTCATCAAATACCATAGGCTAAAGAATAAATGAAGATCTGGTTTAAAAATTACCTACAGGTCCTGGCATATACAACATTATTTTCTCCTTAGATAGTGCCATGAAGAGTTAAAATATACAAATGTTAATTAAAGGGGCATTGTGGGAAATTAGATAAAGAGTTGGCAGTTCTTAGTTAAAAACTAGATAATGTAAAGGGAACATTTCAGTCAAACTGATCCACTCTGAACGGAGGTATTACCTTTTGAATTTTAGGCATAGCCTCGATCATCAGTACGCAAGTCGGTACCACAGAAAAAAAACATAGTTTCGATTATCATATTTTTTTGGATTTAATCATCAATGAGCGTTGATCAGCAGATCGGATTCAAATCCAGTAAATATCACAGGCTAGCGATTACATCGAGAGTTGATTATGGCCTGGATAAGGAAATTGATGTCTAATTAATAATTTAGATAACATGTCAGGCCTACAAAAAGACCTGCAATAGGCAGATTTAGCTCTTGCGTAATGTATGTTTAAGACACAATGTGTGCTTTTGATGTTATCCTTGATTCGTTATGACCAGTTGTGACAATACAATGCGTATACTGTTATGTAAATAAGATTATTCATTTATTAAATGTTTAAATTATGTGCAATGCATATTGATATTGTGTTTTATCTGTTTATGATGAATCAATCAAAATCTTATCTTAAAATATTAGAATAATTAATTGATTTGTTGTTGTGTGCGGTTGGGGGTTGTGTCACAGATCGACCATTTGTGCACAACATAAATAATAAAAATAATAAAATAAACTAATTATAAAGCACTGGATAAGTGTAACAAAATATATTGGAAAGCTTCCCCGTCAAGTAAGGATTAATATCGTACGTCAATGGACAACCCTGACATAAATTGTGAGTTGTTCATATCAGGGGGATCCAAGTATCAAATCTATATACAACCAGATATATGCTATACCGGAAATAAACATTGACTGACAAAGAAAGTCTGGATTTTTGTAGATATTTTTGGAAACCAGTCGTCATCCAGCCACATAAGCTAGAATTAAATAAAAACGTTGCTAACAAAAGAATGGTGAGTTGACTGTAGCGAGAAAGTTTTTGACACCAGCCACTGGTAACACGATTTCCCTAATTCCTATAGGAACGATACGATGTCCGTTGATAGTTAGGCTAATATCCGTACATATATATACAGCTGTAGTAAAGACAAGTAAAACAGAATTTCGAAGTATTAAAAACGAAACAAAATAGAATCTTTGTTTTGATTGTTACAACCTCCAAATTTGCTTGGAAATCGAAATTTGATGTTAAATTAAAATGACAATTTGGCATAAAAAACGATATATTATCAAATATCAATATAAATAATTGTCATGTTGGTGGATCTGGGTTAAATCATGCCATCAGCCCTCCACTAGTACTACTAGACTACATACAATATTGTAGTGGCTGTCTTTTTGTCCGCTGCTACAATTGATACATTCTTTGAGGCTTTGTGCATATAAACATAGCTTCAAACGCACAATCCAACCTCGTGGGTTTTCACCGGGTCCTCCAGTTTCTTCCCACTGCTAAAATAAAATTAAAACCATATGTTAGTCCCTAAATGACCTAGTTTGTGTTGAGTGGACCTTAAACCCCATCTCTCTCTCTCACTCTCTCTTTCTCTCTCTCTCTTTCTCTATTTGTCTTTACAGGTAAATAATGATGTTATAATTTTTATATATTACAGGAAACTAATGATATTATAACTTTTATATATTACAGGAAACTAATGATGTTATTACCTTACATCAATGTGTTGTATGTGACAAGATTTTTCAACAATATGCCGATTTAGAATATCACAACAAAATTCACATTAAAGAAGAGAAAACAGATGAAGAGAAGGGTGATGACGAATCTTGTCATGTTAAAGAAGAGAAGGGTGATGAAGAGAAGGATGATGACGAATCTTATCATTTTGAAGAAGATATGGAAACACGACATCAGTGTAATTTGTGTGATGAAAGATTTGAATTAGAAATTGATTTAAAGAAACACTGTGAAGTACATGTTAAAGAAGAGACGTCTTTTTTACAACCCAGCAGTTCTAGTCCGTTAAACGAAACAGGGATACAAATCCAAAATGACTGTAAAGCTCATACAAAATCTGACGTTTATGGTAAAGCATTAAGTGATTGTGGAACTCTTCAAATACAAATGAGTACTCAAACTGAAAAAAACCCTTATAAATGTGATGTTTGTGGTAAATCATTTAAATTAAATGAAGATCTTAAGGGACATGTGGAGAATCATACTGTTTGTGGTAAATCATTTAAATTAAATGAAGATCTTAAGGGACATGTGGAGAATCATACTGTTTGTGGTAAATCATTTAAATTAAATGAAGATCTTAAGGGACATGTGGAGAATCATACTGTTTGTGGTAAATCATTTAAATTAAATGAAGATCTTAAGGGACATGTGGAGAATCATACTGTTTGTGGTAAATCATTTAAATTAAATGAAGATCTTAAGAGACATGTGGAGAATCATACTGTTTGTGGTAAATCATTTCAATTAAATGAAGATCTTAAGGGACATGTGGAGAATCATACTGTTTGTGGTAAATCATTTAAATTAAATGAAGATCTTAAGAGACATGTGGAGAATCATACTGATGAAAAGGCTTATAAATGTGATGTTTGTGGTAAATCATTTAAATTAAATGAAGATCTTAAGAGACATGTGGAGAATCATACTGATGAAAAGGCTTATAAATGTGGTGTTTGTAGCAAATCATTTAGCTACACCATCCCACTGCTTGTTCACATGAGAATTCACACAGGTGAAAAACCATTTAAGTGTGATGTTTGTGATAAATCATTTACACAGCGAGGTGGCCTACAAAGGCATGAGAGAATTCATACAGGTGAAAAACCTTTCAAGTGTGATCTTTGCGGTAAACCGTTCGCTCAGAGAAACGGTCTACAAGACCACCGAAGAATTCATACAGGAGAGAGGCCGTATAAATGTGATGTTTGTGGTAAATCATTCACTGATAAGGGCAATTTACAGACACATATCAAAACTCACTCTGGCGAACGACCTTTTAAATGTGATGTTTGTGGAAAATTGTTGACGCGGAAAAGTACTCTCCAGAGCCACATGAGAACTCACACCGGAGAAAGGCCTTTTAAATGTGATGTTTGTAGTAAATCATTTACTCAGAGAATCGTTCTACAGAATCATATGCGAACTCATCAGGGATCTTAAATACTTGGGGGAGCCACGGTGGCTACATGTAAGTGGGTAGAACGCTGGCTCGCTAGCCTGGAGGTCGCGTGTTCAATCCCTGCATTGGCCCAGAAACTTCATCTGGATTTTCCAACGTGTTTCCCCCTTTTCAGTGGTGCAGGACAGAGGGCCTGACAAGGACAGCTGTCCAGTCGTTTGGATAGGATGAAAAACCAAGGTCTTGTGTACACATTGGCGTGCACGTAAAGGATCCGTTGGCATTTGGAATTCAGTATAAGAGCAAGCCATAGTGCCGCTGTCCAGGCAAAATTTCCCTCATACATGTAGCAAACTGTATGGCGTATGCTCGTCTTCATTAGCCCAGTCAGGAGTAGGACGTTAAAGAGAGAGAGAGAAATGGGGTATAACGTCCACTCAACAGAGTAGGACGTTAAACCCCATTTCATTTGAATTAATCAATCAGCTGATTATAGTCGGCTTCAGCTGCTTGATGTTTGAAAAGCAGATTAATAAAACAATGAACCTGCCACTGTGTGGAATAAAGCATGAGACTGGAGTTAGGCTGAGGAAAGAAAGACTGAAAAAGATAAAGTGAAAGGCGGCCTCGGTTTTTCTATTGAAGGTTTTTTTCTGAAGTCTTTCATCCCCAGCAAAAAACTAAGTTGAGGACTTTATCTTGCTTATAAACCGTCTATGATTATATGTACGTAAAATGAAAATATCCCATAATTGCAATTAAATAAAAAAAACCCTTATATCATGTTTTCTTATGGAAAAAAAATCCCCTACCCTGGAAGAATAACCTGTTACAGGTTTAAAGAAAAACTTTCAGAAGAATCATCCAAAAATTTCCTTGTATATATCCAAAGCTGATCTCCCAATTTTCAGACCGCAAGTTATTCCGGGCATAGAATATACCCCAAACATCAAAGGGATTTACCGTTATAGGTTTATTATAAGGTATCATAAATCAATCCACCTGTACAAGAGTTTAATCATTAGGCATATCTGTTGATTAAAATCCCTGGAACTGATACTGGAGGTAAAACCTGATTATTAGTTTAATTATCACTAATTCTCCGGTACATATTGGCCTATATCAGTAGAAATTGATATTGGCCCATATTCTGCCGTTATGTTGATGCAGGAAACCCTGATATCTGTTCAAAAAGAGTGTAAATACCTTGAAATTATTATTTGAGTTTTGAACAAGATAATTATTCTCTCATGTTTGGAATTTTACGAAGAGAAGTCAAACTACATGTAGGTCTAAATTTAACAATATTTTAACCCATGGGCGGTGGAGGTATCTGCTGCTTTCTTGAAAATGTTTGGCACATGTATTGATCAATGAACGAATTTATGAAAATAAAATAATCTATAAGTAAAGGTAAATAACTGTTTATTTTTATTGCTGATGAAAATATAAAATACAGAAGAATGCCAAGGTTAAACATACATTATGCAAGAGCTAAATCTGCCTATTGCAGGTCTTTCTTTAGGCCTGAAATGTTTTCTAAGTTATTAATTAGACATTAATTAACTGATCCAGGCCTTAATCAACTCTCGATGGCATCAGATTTCTCCAATGTTAAATAGATTAGAATGGTTCAGCGATACTTTGATTTAATCAAATATGGAGGACCGAGACTTAGCTTCGATCAACCAGTGCAGTGGTTTAAATTATTGCACACTGTCAAACCTTCAAAGGCTAATATCTTCGCTTGCAATAGAGTAATTTGAATGAAATTTTCAAATTATTCATTTTACATCATCCACTTTCGAACTATTATAGCAAGAATGGCTAGTTCTTTATCTAAATCTTACATAATGTATCTTTAATTGACATGACTGCAAGCCTGGAAATAAGGCACCTGTCACTGACAATGTCAGGCACAGATTCAGGCTTTGTCAGGCACTAAACCTCTGGTGTCTGTCATATTGTCTGGCACTGATTTGTCTTTTTTATTGATATTATTAATTCATGTCAGGCACTAAGTTGAAAATGTCAGCTACTATTTCATTAGTGCCTGACATTTTGTCAGGTACCTCTAAAACCGTTATTTCCAGGCCTGCAGGACTGGAGGCTCCATTTTACACATTTTTAAAAATAGAAAAATTAAGTTTTAATAGCTTACAATGCGTTGATGTACCGGCTTAGAAATGAGGTCAATAAAGGGATCGTTGACGATTGGGTCAATCCATTTTCCTTGAATGCACTAAATTTCACAAGGGGAGTTGGATGGTCTAATGGTTTAACATAATGTCTGTTATTGAGTCAAGTGGTGTGGCTTCGATTCCCTGCTTGAGCGTGACAAGGAGTCGGGTCACCTGTCAATCCTTGTGGGTCTTCTCCGTGTCCTCTGCTAAAGACTTCTACGCTACGTGCAAGGGCATTAATGAAATAAAATTGAACCATATGTTAGTCCCAAAATGACATAGTTTGTGTCAAGTGGACTTTAAACCCCATCTATCTCTCTCTCTCCGGGTTCTCCGGTTTCCTCCCCTAGGTTCATACAGATTATTGAAATAAAATTGAACCATATGTTAGTTCTGTGTGTGTGTGCGTGTGTGTGTGTCTCTCTCTCCTGCAGTAGAAAGTCTACCATATTAAACCATATTGCATGCCAAAGTGGGTAAAAGATCCTCTGGCAGTTGGAATTTGATATAAGAGTAGGCGATAGTGCTGCTGCCCGTGCAAAATTTCCCTCAAAGCACACTGTAAGACATATGCCCGTCTTCATTAGCCCAGTATAGGAGCAGAACAGTAGGACGTTAAACCCCATTTCATTTCATTTTGCATGCCAAATTTTTTGCTGGGGAGTATGCCCCTAAACGAGGGCTTCCACTTCAAGTTACATAGTGGAGGTTGATCGTAGCCATGTTTGAAAATTGGGTTTTGAAAAAAAAGGCTCTTTTTCCCCATGTGAAATGACCAATGGGTCAGATTTAGTTACAGTCATTTTCCATAGCCCTAGGTCTTGACTAGTACAAAATGAATCTTGCTGGTGTCTGGGACAAGGCTATGGGGGTGAGGAATAAATTCTAAAATAGGTTAGGGTCCTCCCCCACTAAAATTGTGAAAAATTCATTTGGTTTGGTGCATTCTCAGGTAAGAAAGTTAAAACATAATTATTTCTATGTCTTTTGCTCAATAGGATGTCAATTCACTATTATACGATCATAGGTATCATTCTCACGCTTAAAAATCATTCACCCCAGAAGTAATAACACAATTACCTCCCTTGTTTTTCTACCCCCCCCCCCCACCCTAGAATAGCTAACTTCAAACGTTTGAATTTGAAGTTGAAAATGATTTTTTGCCAATTTCTCAACTGGCAATAGTGAACTATAGGATTAATAGGATTATTCTTTAACAAGGTAGGACTGTTTATAGATACCATCTATTTTAAGGCTTTATTTTAATACATTTTAAAAATATAACTTAAAAATATGAAATTATCGCTTTAAGCACTATCTAGAGCAAGATGAGCCAAAAACTGCAAAACTTTATTTAGGCAAGTTTCCAGATTCATGATGACATTCTCACGTGGCTTTTTTAAGCTGTCAATGAGCTAAGCCACACTGATCGGCAGTGAATATTCGCTAGGCTACGACAATCACTGATAAGGATAATAATAATAATAATAAAAACTTTATTTAATGAGGCAACATATTTAGTTTGCAAAAAAAAAAAACTAATCTTCCATAGGTCCCTCCTAAACTACAAAGACATATATACATGTAATATCAGGATAAATTTAAAATCATTAGAAATGCAATAGCATTTTAAAGTGGGAAGTTTGATAAGTCACTCCCAAACTACAAAACATATACATTATACAAGTAGAATATAGGAAGAACACTATAATTACACACAAAATAAAATAGAATGCAGTTGCAAGTTAAAAATAATAAGTATGTCATCAGTTGAATATTATGGTTCCTACAGTGTGCAAAATAGATGAGTTTTCAGTTTAATCTTAAAATTTTCAACATTTTTACACATCTTTATGTCAAAAGGCAGATTGTTCCATAAAAGACATGCAGAATAATGAAAAGTACGTTTCATGGATTCCGTTTTGCATTTTTGAAGAAAAAGAGATTTACTGGTCTGTGAACGGAGCAAGATATCCGTTTTGGAAACAAGAGATTTTTCAATAAAATGGAAATTTAGATAAAGTGGAGTATTAAATGTAATAATTTTGAATGATAAGACAATTTTATTGTAAAGAATCCTCTGTGTAAGGGTAAGCCAACCGAGTTTAGTAAATAAAGAGGTGGACGGAGTTTCAATCGGTGCATCAAGAATAGCTCTTGCTGCCCTCTTTTGTAATTTTAAAAGAATGTCTAATCTACTTTTGGTAGCATTTCCCCAAATAATAGAGCAATAATCAAATATTGGTAGTATGTAACTGTTATAAAACAAAATTCTTGTCTCGTAAGGTAAATGATCTTTTATCTTATTTAGGAGAAATATTTTTGATGCAAGTTTTTTAGACATATCTGCTATCTGTGCTTCCCAATTAAGGTCTTGGTCAATTTGAATTCCAAGTAATTTTGCGGTAGTAACCGTCTCAATTTTCTCACCATGGAGAGATAAAGTTAGGTTTTTCTGATTTCTTTTGTGTTTTGTTGAAATCAGCATTGATTTTGTTTTCGAAGGATTGATTACCATCCCATTGTTTTCACACCATTCAGCAACCTAATAGAGATCATTTTGGAGATTTTTGGCGATGGATAAAATATCTTTGTGTGAACAATGCAGGGTACTGTCATCAGCAAACAAATCTATCTGACTTGATTCAATATTGAGTGGGAGATCATTTATAAAAATTAGGAATAGGAGAGGACCCAGGATCGAACCTTGTGGAACCCCGCATTTGACTGTAGTAATTGAGGAGGTAATTGATCCTAAACATACTTTTTGCTTCCGTGAGTCAAGATATGATTCAATCAAAATTTGTGAATTATTATCAAATCGATAAAGATGTAGTTTTTCAATAATAAGCTTATGATCAATGAGATCAAATGCTTTGCTAAAATCAAGATACACTATACCACTCATCGCACCATTATCGATAGCATCAAGCCAATTATCTGTCATTCGGATCAGTGCAGTAGCACATGAATGATTTGATCTAAATCCAGATTGGTAAGCATAAAGAACATTGAAGGTTTCCAAATAAGTTTGAATTTGAGTGCTCAAGTGCCTTTCGAATATTTTTGAAATTGTGGGGAGAATTGAGATTGGCCTATAATTGTTCGGATCATCTTTAGCTCCCTTCTTATGTATAGGAATAATTTTAGCCAGTTTAAGGGCACTGGGGAACATGTTTTGAGAAATACAAAGATTAATGATATATGTCAAACTGCTACAAATTGTATACGCAGACAATTTTAAAATTTCGGGTCCAATACCATCACACCCAATGGCTTTGTTACTATTTAAACTCAATAAATGTTTTAATACCTCTGTGGTAGTAATACAATTAATAGAAAAGTTGTTATTTGGGGGAATCTTATCATTTACGTAATCTGATATCTTTCGTTTGCACTCTTGAGAAAGTGGTGTATAGGGGGGCTTAATGTCATCAGTTAAATTAGTGAAGTAATCATTCATCACATTAGCAATAGCATTTAGATCATTAACTGTTGTTTTTCCATATTTAATACTATTGGGATAAGGGCAATTATTGGGTTTATTTTGTATGTCACTAAAATATCTCCATATGTTTTTAGATGCAGAGGCAGAGGACAGAGTGCCTGGCAAAGGACAACGTAAAGTTGTTTGGATGAAACCTAAAAAAATGAGGTCCTGTGTACACATTAGTGTGCACGTAAAGGATCTTTTAGCAGTTGAAATTCGATTTATGTGTAGACAGTAGTGTCACTGCTCAGGAAAAAATTCACTCATAGTGCACTGTATGTCGTCTTCATTTGCCCAGACGTGGCAAGGGGTAGGGTCGCCTGTCCAACCTCGTGGCTTTTCTCCTGGTCCTCCGGTTTCCTCCTACTGCTAAAGACCCCTACGCGCAAGCGAATTATTGAAATAATTATTGATGGATGGCCGAATGGTTAGTACATGTACGTGCACGCTGTATCATAAAGTCTATTATTGAGTCAACTGGCAGGGTTTCAATTGCCTGGTTGCATGTGACAAGGAGTAGGGTCGCTTGTCCATCTTCGTTGGGTTTTCGGGGTCCTCTGGTTTCCTCCCACTGCTAAAGACCCCTCAGCACAATAATCATTTTCAGTTAGACAATTAGAAAGGAAAACCAAGTGATGTTCAAGAGTTTATTGTTCTTTTTTAAAGTCTGTATTATACTCATCTACAGATGGTATGG